TTAATTGATGGGATACAAATTTATCAAAGCAAACATGAAATAGCATAATTTCTCGAGCGGCAAACAGATATTACGGAATTGTAATGACACGTGCAAAATTAGAAATCTGAAGGTCTAGATTGAACAAATGAATATACTTTATTTATGTCGTCTGTCAAACACAACCATACCTAGCTACCATAAATAACAAAGACCAGAAACAGTATCTGTTGTAGCCTACGTTATTCTAAAATCATTTCAAACTCTCTGCATCAGTGACATATTTATGTAAAATTAACATAATTACGATAAGACGATCTTTTCAATTTCTATATGATTATGGCGGATTATGTAATGAAATAGCTGTCTAATGTCACTAGACGAACATGACAAGAAAAGTTATAGCTCAAATGTCAAATAAATAGCAAGTCGATACTTTTTGTTGTTGAATTTAGCGACACATATTTCGGCTGTATTTGATGCTCTTATGTCTCTAATTAGGTATCAATAAATGTTTAGCATTATTTTTTTTAATTTTGTCAGCATTTTCCAAATACTCGTAATTACATGTACCGTCTGACAAAATTCTACTAATACATATAAGTTACGGAATCTGACAGAGTAAGCACAAGTAACACAAACGCATAATAAATGGGACAACTTTGAAGTATAAGTATCAATGTAAGATTTGACTCATCGACTATATTTATTCACTTACTAGTATATTATGGATTGCATAAAACAAATGAGTAACAATACAACAATATAAAAATACTTAATAGGTTCCAAAATTATGTTTTTGGATTATTTTGTCGCCAAAAATAACTTATTTACATACAAAATATAAAAGGATTAATGAAGTATTGATTTAAATACTTTCACAGCATCTCTTGTATTTATAATTCTGACACTTGTCAAGTAAGAGTGAACACTGTTAAATACTTTTACACATACTAACAAGCTTATATTTCAATGTCCTTTAATATGGCACTTTAATAAGTCATAAGAACACGTCTATTGTAAAAACAATATTACAGTGCTGATGAAAAGTAATTTACACAGAAGCAATTTTAGAGTATGCGTTCAAGTCCCAATGTTGGGTATTTACTAAAATGATAGCATACATCTGTTTAAATATGAAAATGAGTAAAGATGCTATCACTGGTAGAAAGCTCGTAAGATACACGTGTATATTATACTGTGCTGACCAAATAATGTATCAGTACCTATATGTCTAAGCACCCAGACGTACAGGGGAACGGACGAATGATTCAATTTTTTCATAGTTACAAGATATTCTATATATGAAGGTGTTCACTGACACCTTTATAAATTGGATTTTTAGTCGCACTGTATAGGTCACATGACCACTTTACAGCTGTATTGGTGGAGGAAATGTCCCTCTGTGCATTCTTTCAAGCACGAATAATGATAATTATACTTTCCTGTCTTAATTATTTAAAAGTGCCCGGACGTGCAGTGGAACGGGCGAACAACTCAATTGCTTCATAGTTACAAGAGATTAAGAAAACAAAAGTTTTTCAGTTATACCTTTTTGTTCTCTTGAGTTGCACTAGCAATGTAAATGTCAGGTAGCCACATTCCAGCTCTTCTGGATCAGGAATATCTTATATGCCCCTCCGCGCATTATTTCAAGCATGAATTGTCACATGAGAGTGAGCTAGCAGGGTAACTTCTTCATGTGGTAACTAATACTGCTGTGATATAATACCCAAAGCCAAAAGCAATAAACAAATTAGGAAATTTAAATAATAGACATATTCTAATGATTCTTTGATTTATACATTACCATCTATAAGAAGATATCAATGACGCGTCTCTGAAACTGATATTTCATTTAATATATTCCTCAAATAAAAAAAATACCAGACGTATTTATTTATAAGAGAAGCTTTGAATTTCCGATAAGGGTTACTATCTTTTACTGAAAATAGTGCATGTTTCGAACGATGAGTACTTATGGCATGTAGCATAAAGTCACAAATATTGCAAATCGATTGGGATACCGGGAATGAACCTGACGCCATTGTGTTGTAGAAGTACTTGTTTATGTGTTTATACGTGGTGATCATGGGATCTTCAAAGTCACTTGTTACTGCTTATACAGCGGTGTCTGTCCTAAAGTAAAACCTATAAGCTTGCACTAAAGTCACAATCACGATAGATACAAAAAAGGAAAATATCTCTCACACACAGACAGTAAAATATAATATTCTGTCTACCTGTTACATCTAAATATCAAACGTTTCGTAAAAAATCGATCAACTCTTGCAGATATCATATTTGCAGATCACGATATTTTGCACTTTTATCAATTATCTTGTCAAAACTGACTGTTGTATTTATTTAGGGCCTGAACTAATAACCATTTAGTCAGACAATGATTAATAGGTGTTTCCAAATGTTCTAATATTTCTAACGAACTAGTTTATTAATGATGAAGACTAAGAAGCAATATGATGAGTAAATAGCATACTCGGCACTTGTAACTTAAATGAGAAACATTAGCAATAAAAGTTGTTACTAAGTCACCAATTGAAGAAAAAAATATTTTCTGAAACAAAAGAAACAGATATCTTGATTAGATCAAATATTATCAATTATGCCTCGTTTTCATTCATAGAGCTAACAAATTTATATCAAATGTTGTCACAGTAACTAAGTCACCATTTGAAGAGAAAAAATAATTATTGTCTGGAACAATAGAAACATATCATAATTGGATTCAGTCTTGATTAAGCCTCGTGTTCACTCCTAGAGCCAACAAATTTATATCAAATATCTATCAAACCCATTACAGCTCTAATTTTAGTTTCAAAGTAAAATAATCTATATCACCACTATATCAGCATACAGACTAATTGCAAACATTCATTAATTAACTCAAATCTAGCGAAATGTAAATAATGGTACTGTAAAAATGTTGAAATTATTCATTATTGTTGTTCTTTTGGACTGGAACACAACTGCACAACGTATATAAGACTTGGCAATGGTAAATATACAGTTGGCAGCTGTGAACCTGTCTAATAGAATTATTCAGTATTGCATTCAACAATGTATAAAAAAACTTCATACTAATAAACACTTTTTGAAATGTAACTAACGAACTTCCGCCGTAAGCACCATGTAATCTTCTAATAGATCATTATCATACCAATTTAGCCTCGGTTTCATATTCCGGGTCAACTGTACAATGCATTCCTTATTATGCTTCGTCTAGAGTTGATCAAGTGTCAGAATCCAAAAAAGATCCATATCAATTCCATATTATTTTTGGAGCAACAGAAATCTTTCAAAGTGTAAACGAGATTGGTGTTCATTATACATTCTGCTAAGAACAATACCAATTCTTTTTCGGCGCGAACACATCTGTAAAATATTTATAAATGCTTGTGCATGCAGTATTGTACCTAGCAAAATTTATATTTATATATTTCCTGGCTTGTCATGTAAAAATATCACTGACGTCCCATTACAAACTCATATATTCAATTTACAATATATATCGGTTCATTCAGATATACATCAGCGTAATTGTATTGATATTAAGTCTAGAAGGTCATTTCCATTTAACCTATGAAATTAACTGTCGTCTGATGAACGGTTTGTGGTGACAGACAATCACATTTTCAATCTCTTATCTGAAAGCTACGTAATATCTCGTAGAAAAGTCATCGCTATATAATGTTGCAACATTTCGATATTGCTTGTATTGTTACAAAAATTCATTAGCCAATGTTTTATTTAGCTGAGCTACATTATTCAGTTATTTTGATTTAACTCATAAAGTAATACAAATTATCATTATTCAAAGATTAAAACAGGCAACGATATTCTTAAATCAATATCGTAGGAACTGTTGACAGTTAGACCGTTTCCAATTTAGATCTTTAAAATCTACACTTTAGGTGTTAACATACCCTACCTCTTCAATCAGCACTTATCGGCAAACTTTGGTAATGCACTGCAGCAATACAATAACAAAAATTTATAGTTGAACACTCAATTGAAATCGGTTATAACAGTTTCGACACAGTCTATAACACGTTCCTACTGCGTTCCCATGGCTGCTTGGAAAAAAGGTGACAATTTTATGTCTCGTAAAACTTTGCTAAATTGGAAGTGATTTCCGCTGAGGGAATCATTCAGATAGTATAATAAGAAAGTATCAAACAATGATTTAGTAAGATAATAAATTCGACTTGCGTGTAGAATACAAGTGGTAAATTGTGCATACACCTACACTGAAATTGAAATGAGAATTTGATGAAGTCACAGTTTTCTCTCTCATATATGTATTATACCAGAGAAAAAAACACACACAAAGAATTCCTAAATAACGGTAAATTTGAAAATGTGCCAGAGTAGATTTGATTGCGCTTGTTCGTAGACGATCGTTGTAAACGCAAGCTATTGTTCACTATCGATGTGGGCCTGAGGGTACCCACATAAACTAGGTTTGACAAGTTCCGGCCATAGGCGAATGCCGGAGGGAAGGTTATCACAATAGGAACCGCAAACAAATAGATAGGTTTCTTGCATATTCTACTATACTATATCGTTACTTTAGTTAAGTTAGCCTTATGTAATTTATATCCAATAGAAGTAATGGTGCTTTTCTCCTTCGTAACCATTTTCTTACATCAATAATTTAAAAAAAAAACAACAAAAAACAAAAACAAAAAACAAACAAACATTAACATTTCCTGTTCAATCTAATTTTATCTAACGAATCTCTATTTAATGGTATTGTGTTGTTTCATTTAAATAGATGAAAAGAATGAAATTGCAACAGAATGTTCTACTGCAATGCAACAAAATTATCTAAAATTGATAACAAATTTAAAGAGACAACTTTGTAATTAAATAAGCAGATGTTACGAAACAGAAAAGAACATGAAATGAAAAACACTTTAAAAAATGACATTTTTAAAGCAAAGGGGTGATAGAAAAGAACAATTTTGGAAGGCATCCCAGCAAACACATGACGTTAAAATAACGTCGGATTAATGTTAGATTTTGGTCACGACGTCGGCGACCAAAATACGACGTCAATCTGACGTTGAAATACCGATGTCTAATAGACGTTTCTTTTTGACGTCGTATTAACGTCAGGTTATGGTCGGTGTCCTGACGGTAGGTAAAAAAATAACAAAAATAATCCTTTTTCGCTGTTGTAATCATTTAAACTTTTTTTCAAATGTTATTTGGATTACAAATGAAGTGTTGTTATATAAATACAGACCAAGATCGCGGCGTTGCAACCTAATAAAACATATAGGTGGCGCTGTATATACGCAAGTTACATGTGTTATTGTTATGAAATCTATTTATAGCCACAGATCTGTTTACAAGTTCAAATCATTTAACGTTGTAATATTATCATTTGTGGTACATTATATGTATCAAAATTACGAGTTTTTAATAGTGCTTTAACATTTAATCATAGTGACAGAAAAGGGAAAGAGAACATAATTAACCTTTAATTCGAATCTAAAGTCACGTGGATGGAAATTCAAATTCGTAGGCGTTACGTTTTGGCTGTCGGTCAGGAAGCGGGATGCATTGATAAGTGAATATTATAGATTTTCTTGAACAAAAAGGTCAGTTCAATTTATTTAGATTTATTTCTACTTTGTATTTGATAAATAATTGCATGATTGAAAGCACTCTTAAATTTAATTATCATTATTTGAACAGCTGAAGTAAAATGTCACACAAATTCGCGATAATGTGTAATAATAAATCTTTTTAAAATTGACATTTTTAACTCTGCTTGTGAAGAGTTTATAATATGCCTTTCAGTACTACCAAAGAGAATGCTTAGTTTTCATATTTTTCTTAAACTGTGATGTATTTGTCAGTTAAAATCTGAGAATTGAGAATGAATTTGTACGATTTCGAGCATTTCGAACCAAGACGTTTCGGTCCCAAATAACCCAAAACATTCCGGTCCCAAATAATGCAAGACGTTTTGGTTCCAGACATTTCGGCATTAAATCTTTAATTTAAAACTATGAAATATTTAAGACTTGCGTAACTGTTCTATTTCAAACGTAGAATATATACATAAGTTAGAATATAATTTTCTTTTCAGGTAGTTAAAGTGTTGGACATGCTCTCAAAGGTCGGAGGGACGGAAACACGTGAATATGTAAAAAGAAACATATGAAAGTAAGATTTTTGTAAATTCTATTACATACTTTAATCCATACTAAACTGGAGTTTAAAAGCGGCTTTTTAAATGTTCAGTTTATGTTTACTTTTAATTTTTGTTAAAGCTCTCTTATAAAAAGTTGGCAAAATTGTTCATTAAGTTAAGATAACCATGAAAACATTTTTGCTTGTTATTTTTACATGTTTCATAAATTTCTTTTTTTTTCAGTGAAAATGATGTCACACACGCTATTGGGCGCTACAAACGCTACATATCCTCCGGACAGAGGAGGGGTGCTGAAAGAAGGTCATATCTTAAAGCATCACACCTCAAAATTCGTGCTAATTCTCATGGATATCTAAAAGTATAACATTGTGAAGTAACTAAAAGGCAGCAATTTATACATTACTGACAATTATCAAAGGAGGTCAAAATATGCACAATGGCACTAAATGTTTTAGAAATGCTGTAGAAATATAGTTAAAGTACTGAAAATCTATCATAAATTGCTTGAAACATTATTATCAGAATCTTTTAACTTTTCTTAAAATTATAATATTTTCATTGTTTTATTTGATGAGGCAAACTTTGATAGAAATGTGCATACATTGTTTTGTTCTTTAATATTTGTACATGTTTTCTTAGTTTCATTTATGTCATTGTTTTTGTGATACTTTTTGTTTTGTAATTAACTTATTTTATGTTTTATTTTGTTTAATTTATGAAAATTATTTAACCTTGCAGAATTTACTAAAATTGTATGTATCAGCTTAAAATTGCAACTTTTATCTTAAATTAAAAAAAACATGAAACATATTTTTGCTTTAGTTTTCTGTTATACATTTCATTTGAGGGAAAGTTACTTAATAGAATGAGTTACATTAAATTAGATCAAATCAGGATTAGCCCGAAAATATTTATGACGTGGTGCAACAAAAAGGATTAGGGGAATGATAAGATGAAGGTCAGAAAATGATCAGATTTAGGGCAGAAAAGGGTTAATATTTAGGTCGGAAAATGGTCAGATTGAGGTCGGAAAATGGTTAGAAACTGGTTAGATTTAGGTCGGAAAATGGTCAGATTGAGGTCAGAAAATGGTCAGATTGAGGTCGGAATATGGTTAGATAATGGTCAGATTTTGGTCAGGAAAAGGTTAAATAATGGTTAGATTCTGACGTCTACCTGACGTCAGATTATTACGTCAAAAAACTTTCAAATCCAACCGTTTTTCCGACCGTCATCCGACGTCAGAACCTGACTTAAATCTGACGTCAGTATGACGTCTTGTGTTTGCTGAGTAACATTTTACGACCATATTGAGATAAATTTGTAATGTTTCTTCTTTTGCGTTAGTCCACTTAGAAGATAAGAAATCGAAATATCATTAGAATTGTACTCAATGAAGAACCAATATGACCCAAAGGTCATCTGAGAATTTTTAGAATAACGGATTATGTAAAATTAGATCTAATGCTTATTTTAACTTTTTACAAATTTTGGTTAATTTAATTATTATTTGCCTTGCTTTAATTAGTTAGTCTATACGTGAGATAAAGTTTCTTTAATTGTTCTTGTGTTTTATTATTTAACTTATGATGTAAATCATTTTCCTGTATCCTTGCTTTAAAGATTTTAACAATACACCTGCCCTACAAAATGAATTTCTATACTTCTTATCGTTTAGAATTTAATAAAGGTGGTTTGAAAACTATTTTATATACTTGGATTTACCGCCGTAAGTGGACATCGGTTTTTGAGATTATGCCACTAGTCTCGTTAACCATTCATCGAGAACTAGCACTTTAAGAAAACTTAGTAAAAGGTTCCTGGTGGCTGCATGATGTCTTTTTGTGATGTCAGATTATTATATAATCCCACGCAAGTGACAGGCACATAAATCAATTGAACGATGTTTTCGGACTTCGGAAATATGATGCAGCTCGTTACCTTAAGACCCATAATAAAAATAATTTTGTAACTGTTGAATATGTAAAGGGAAGGAGAAATATCGATAAATAACTTCACTTTAATTATAATTTCATCATAGATTATTTCCGATTTGCGGAAGTGTTATGCTTTAAAAGCTGTTATAATTGTAAATGTATTGCAACTTAGTACGTCTTCATGTGAACATTAACTTTTATTTAAAGAAAGAAAACAAAACCACAACAAATTAACTCCCTTCGAAAGAGTTCATGTTTGTGTTGCAAATTCAAAGATTGTTAGAAATACGAGTTATCTTAACCTTAAGATGAAAAATGTTGATGGTTTATCTACTCTACTAATAAACGTCATTTTACATCAATTGTTCTCTAAATACTTTTGAATTTAAGTTTGCATTTGATCAGGAAATGGACAACTTAAGATAAATATCTAATTTATTTTCAGCGCATAATGGGTATGTATGTCTTTGAGTTCATTCTAACCATTTCCTGGATGAAACACTGTCTACTGCTGTGTTGATTACAAATTCGTAGAATGCTTGCATTAGAACTTCTGATTATCTGTTTGAAAGCATCATTTATTTATTTAATTGATGTCATTCACGTAAAAGACAAAAATATAATGGCTATACCGATAATAATGTATAAATATATAGCAATATTAGGCTCATCTATGAAGAACGTCTTACATATCTTGTTTTTATGTATCTAATTGACATGATTTAGGATTTTATTTGGGTATTTTTTACCCCTGCACATTTCGAATGAAATATACTAAATGTTCATAATGATACTAACATTTTAGAGCATGTTATGTTAAATGATATGAAGTGACATCTGTATAATATTATATATAATCTACAAAATTGAACAGAACATTTTAAGTATAATCTAGGGCAATTTATTTGTCCTGCATATAAAGTTTATGTTGTCTAGATGTGAATATGCAAAGAAATTGAGAGAAACGCGTGAAAGACGTTATTTTCAGGCTACTAGCCAACAGCTGTGAGCACCAATTGTCCTATCAGCTATAATAATCATTGAGCAATCACTTTGTATTTCATACAAAATTTGTGTAACAATTTTTTTCAAGGAAATGTTTGTTTTATCAGCAAATTCAGAAAAAACATATGTGTGGGAAAATATTTTATGATTTCCATACACTTGGAGTAAACCATGAATATGTAAAAATCCCAAGACATTCCAAATATAATTTGGGATCCAGAGAACAATCTTGTTGGACTGCTTAATGTATATTTTAGAATACATTTAACGTTTTGAGCTGTGAAAATCATAGATCATAAGTTCACCTATTAATTAAAAGCTTTGGTAATAACATGTGTGTTCCAATATTATAGATTTTTTCGATAGTTACTAGAAAAAGTTTCAAAAGGTTTGTTGGTTCTACATGTACTTAGCTTGCTTAAGCTCTTATAATTTACTGGATAAAAAAAACAGGTTTGCAAAATAAAAAAAATATACGCTTAATAAGTCCATCTTTCAGTGATTCTGTACTTTCTATTTTTTATTTTACTTTTTTTTGTGTCAGTTTATCGTGAATTAACACATTTGTTAGATTGCTAGATTAGTCACGTAAAACATGATCAAAGCATTCGCGCAATTGATAATGCGTTCACTGTCGATTTGATTTCCCATGACTAAGCATAATTGTCAGAGATCAAGTCAAATGTCCCATGTATCGAGAATGTTTATCAAGATCTAAGATAACTCAGCTATAGGTAGAAGCTTTTCGTGGCTGCATGATGTCTTTTTTTTATGGCAGGAAATCATATAAATTAGCTATAACTATTAGCTATAACCTAATCCAATTCCAAATAAAGAATATATTACTTATTTCTTTCAATTTTTAGTATCATATATAGGTTATCATTGCAATGTTTATTTCATGAATTACTGTAACAGTTACCTTTAATGTTTTGATTCCAAAATGCATGAACACTTTCAAAATTTAAATCGCTCGCATTAGGATGACTGGGCATAAATGTGAAAGATCAAGTTAAATGTCTCGCAAATCATATAACAAAACATAACAATTCAAGTTATTAATAAAAACTGATGAAAAAACCGTTGGCTGCACAATGTCCATGACGACAAACTATGTTATTTATCACATAATTCCAGGAAAGAGACAAAATTGTTATGCCTAGAGCCAATTAAATCCCAAACGAGAAAAAAGTTATAGAACAATCGAGACATTCATCTGCTTCTCCGTTAAGTATCTTTTTTTCCGAATTAATATTGAATGCAGTTTTTTTTATTCCAAACTCAATCGAATCTATTCAAATTAAAATGCTTTATGATGACTGAAATTTCTTTAAAGACATCAATCATTTAACTGATGATAGTCATGAATAAGACGAATCTAAAATTAGTAGTGATGTAAAAGCACATATCGAGTGTAATGTTTTAAATCCAAAGCATTTTGGTGTATTTATGAGTAACGATTTTCACAGTAAATACTGTTATTGGTGTTCTGTTTAAGATCTGCATATTTCAAGATTTAACTGGAGTCATATATCTCAGCATTTTAAATAAATATTTATAAATATTCATATCGACTTATTAAATTGTTATTTATTTGCTTTCGTTAACAAATTCCTATAAATGGCCCGGCAATAAGTTACACTGTACTCACATTTGCCATGTTGCGACCGTATCCTTGGATATTCGTTTAAAGGTATATAATTTGATATTTAAATATCTTACTTCACAACTTATTTGTTGTTTTGAGATGTTTTTTTTTAATTCTTAAAATTTGGTATTCTTTCTTCAGGTCATTTCTTTTTTCGTTCATGAAAAAAATATAATCAACTCAAGAACATGTTGCCTTCGCTTATTGTTGTCTTTAAAAGCGGTTTCGGGTTAGCAAGGTTCATAACCTCTAGCGCCGCTCACAAAGCGGTTATCATGTATTCCACAATTTATGTCGTATGCTGACAGCCTTAAAATGTGGTATTGTAAATTGTCTGATGTCTCGTCCAAATGCCTTAAATTCATTGTTTTGCAATGATACTTTTAATGTCAGAGGATGCATTTATATTGTGCATTATTGAAATATGCGTTGAAGGGATGCCGATATTGAACGTCAACATCTTACGTTTATGAATATACTTGTATTTCTTTTGTGTTGGTATTTAGATTTACAATAAATATTCTAAACTAATCAAATCATTTAGACAGTGAGTGATGCTTGTTTAATGCCCAATGATTGTTAATGGTAAAATCTATAATAAGCGACTGTTTTACAATTTTTTGTTTTTATTTAGGTTGCAAAAGTACATCCGTATTATAATATTGTAAACCATGTTGCATAATATAAATAAAGATTTATGTATGAAGTGGTAACAGCAGACAGATTTTAGGCATGCATTGACAAAACTTCTGTAATCTTCTTAAATGACATTCACATCCAAGTAAAAAAAATTGTGGTAGCATTATTCTGTTTCAACATTGATATCTCATTTGTGTGTCCCATGACTCGTTTGAAATACAATCTACAATCTCCTTGTCTCCTTTAACAAGGTTTTTACTGTCAGTGATTTCCGTTATTGGAAAAATCTGTCATATTGCACAGATAGAAAGGGAGTATAATTGAAACTATAACCGATTATACTTTGATGATAAATGTAACAATGCATGTTTTAAGTTGAAAATAATATCACAGTCAAGCTTGCAATTTATGAAACCTGAAATAAAGCACTTTGATTTATGCCTTTATTGTCTTTGTTCTGAAAAATTATCATTAAAGCTATCTTTCCTTACACGTTTACCAGAACACGTACATCATGCTATATGATATTTCTCTGTACCTGTGCATTATGGCATATGGTGTAATTATCATTTATTCTGA